GACATTACTAACCCGGATCACCCAGCCCGTGGGGATCAACCACGTCGGGAGACCTCCAAGCTTTCATGACAAGGCATTTCGAAAGCCGACACAGGTTTACCATATGCCGACGAGAGGGGTCCCAGACCAATAACAGGTTAGGTCCCAGACCATACTGTGCCAGGAAGCCCGGGGGTCCTCCCCGACACCACCCCGGCGAATCCACATGTCTCTCGGCATCAAGGCTCCCCTGATAAGCTAGTTACTTAGCCAGGGGTGTCCTATTCCACCCATGTGGTCGTACTTGTCTTATGTTCGGATGAAATTCCAAGGAAACGGTCCTTAAGTGCAAGAGCGGGAAACCGTACACCCGGTACGTTCCCCGGTCCGTGGTTTTGGAAAATCATTTAGTTCGCAAGCACCGACCCAGGTGTCGGGTTTTCCAAGTCTTTTGTAAAACCCAAGTTTTACCCAAGAAGTTACTCAGATTTTTAAGTTTGAAGGCGACCGTCGATACTCGTGCAGAGTGCATGATTTCCGAGGCGCGACTAGGTGGTTACGAGGAAACATGGTATAACAATTAACAGAGGAAGGATCAAATGCAACAAATAGGTAGGTCCGCCAATCTGCCTTGCAGACGGGACAAGCGGATTAAGTGTGATCCTATCTATGCATAATATTTTTCAAGCAACATAATTAAGTTCAAATATAGGCTCAAGATGTTCAAAGGTGGCTTGCCTCGCTCGAGATCTTGAGCTTGATCCTCGAAATCCTCGCACTGCGGGTCTTCGGGCTCCGAAACTACACGCAAAACGGGACAACTCAACAAACGGCGAAAAATAAAGCCCTATTAATGACCTCTAAGCATGCCATTAGATAGATCTCGAGATTTGAGGAATTTTGGAAGTTGAACGGAGTCAAACGGATTTATGGTTGGGAAGATATTGAATTTCTAAGATTATTGGATTTTTGGTCTAAAGGAAAAGGATTTATTTAAATCATTTTTGAAAAAGAAAAGAAAAGAAAAGAAGGAGGGAGGGAAATTAGACTTCCCTCGGGCGGCTAGGGCGCGGCCCGAGAGAAAGGGGCGGCTCGGCCGAGCTTAATGGGCCGGCCGGCCCAATAGGGCGCGGGGAGGGTTGAGAGAGGGCGCCGGTGGACCGAGTCCATCTCGCGTGGTCCCGGGTGGGACCCGCTTGTCAGCGGCTCGGCTCACCGTGCGGAGGGAGCACGCGGCGCGGCGCTAGGGTGTGGAGCGGGGCGCGGTGCATGCGCGTGGTTCGCGGTGGACGCGGATGCGGCGGGCCTACGCGCGGCCTCACGGCTCGCGGTGGACCGCGCCCGCGAGCGGGGCCGGAGGGAGCGGCTGACCGGGGTCGGCTCGACCCGGTCTTGGCCGAGCTGGCACCGACGTGGCGCCTACGTGGCAGCCACGCGGGCCGGCGGGAGGTTGAAGAAGACGCCGGCCGGAACGGACGGCGGACGGCTGTGGCGAGCGGCGGAGCGAAACACGGCGATCTAGGCGAAAGCGAGCACACCGGGAAGTTGCGCGGGACGAGGGGAGTCGAGCCAACGGCTCGGATTTGCCGGGGGATGCTCGACGGCGGCGGATTGCGGCGGCGGCAACCGGCGGCGGAAGAAGGGGGAAACGGCGACGAGGTCACGAGGGGCCGATTCCCGGCGGCGAGAGCATCTACGCGGCTACGGGAATCCGATGCTAGCGTTGGATTGGGCGGAGCGGCGACGAGCGGCGCTTCCGAGCTCGGGCGGCGACGGCGGCGAGCACACGGCGAGCGACGGCAGCAGTCGGGGCGGCGCCGGCTAGCTACGGGGAGGCTACTCGTGCTACTACCCGAGTCTAAGGGGAGGAGATGGAACGAGGAGGAAGAACGGGGGAAGGCACTACCGTGCGGGTGGGCGCAGTGACGAGAGGCCGACGGCGCGGGAGTGATCTCTCCGGCCTCGAGCCGGGGAAAAGGAAGGAGAGGGCGCCCGGAGTCCCCTTCCGAGTCCTTGCTCGTGCCGGCTCCTCCGACACGCGCGACGGCGAACGGCGGCAGCGAACAGAGCACGGGAGACAGCGACAATGGAGTGGAGGCGATGGGACAACGAGAGGAGAAGAGAGGGAGGGCGCCTGGGCTTTATAGGATGGCAATGTCAGTTTGGGAGAGGGGAACCGACTTTGGACGGTCAAGCCAGTGAGCTGGCGCTCCGGCTAGCGGCCAAATCGGCGACAGGGCGGAGGGAGGATGACGCCGGCGGGAGGAAAAAAAGGGGAAAAGGAGGGAGAGAAAGGGGGCTTGCCCCTTGCCTCTTTGGGAAAAGGAGGAGGGGAGCGGGGGCGACGCGGTAGAGGGAGGAGGAGCTCTGCCTCCGTCCCTTGGAGGCTAGCGCGTGGAGTGGCGGGGGCCGGGCGATGACGACGGCGATGACGGCGGGGGCGGTGTGGAGCGAAGCGGCGACACGGGCGACAGGCGCGGGCAGGCGCGGCAGGCGCTGACGGCGGCAGCGACCAGGCGGTCGGCCACCACGGCGTGCGCGCGCGGGAAGCAACGGGCGGCGCGGCGATTTGAGCGGCGCGGCTCGGGCACGCGGGCTGGCTCGCGGGGCCGAGCGGCTGCGCGGCTGCAGGCGCGGCAGGGCGGCGGGGCCGGATGACGCAGACGGCGCAGGCGTGGCACGGGCGGCGACCACGCGGGCGCGCGCGCGCGAACAACGGCGCGCGGGGGCCGATTTCGCGGGCGGGGTGCTCGCCAGGGATGGAGGCGGGGAGGGGGTGAGCGAGGGGAGGGAGGAGGCGCTCGGCGCGGCTCACGCGCACGCGCGCGCGGCGCGCGGGCAGAGCGGAGAGAGAGAGAGAGAGAGCCGGGGAGGGAGGGGGGAGATGGGCCGAGAGGGATTCGGCCCATCGAACCCGAGGGAGGCGAAATAGACTTTGCGGAGGGATTGATTTGGGAAGGATTTGGATTCGGGATTGAACTCGACGATAGATCGGGGATTTGAGATCTGAGATGGCACGGACACTAGACAACAAGCAAAGAAACAGATTTCGCAAATAGGGTTTTTAAGAGATAGTTTTCCCGCTAGGCGCCACGACGGAACGGGCGCTACAGAAAAGAGCCAAAGGATGCATCCAACCAACCAAACCAAATCTCTGCCTAACCAAAACTAAAACACAATTCTACTCCAGAAAACAGCTAGGAAATGAAGGGAAGGGACAAGCAAAGGCATCTAATTAATTAATGAGATATCATGACAGTGACATGGCTGACATCATTCATACATGCATGCTTTGGAACTAATCATGCAGTGCTTGGTTTCATTTGATATATACTATTATGAGTTGTCCAAATCTGTGCAATAAATAATATTAGACCAGTTTTGTTTGAATTGCCTCACAAATCTAAGAAAACCAAAGGGGATCACTACATATATATTGCCAATCACTACATTAACTCTCTTGAGTCATGACAATCCAATCACATCCACGAATCTCGAATTGTATATTAACCAATCATGCAACAATAATCTATACTGTGAATCTGATCTGGTCTGAATTATCTTCATATAGTACTAGGTGTCTGCAACATTATATATGATACATGACACATGACCTATCATTCATCAAACATGCATGATCGGACTATAGACTGCCAGAAGGGATCAGGTTTTGAAACTTGGATGAAAAAAATTGGCTGAACTTGCATAGGTTTAATTGATCAGTAACCATACACAAATCTCAAGTTGGAAATAGTTAACAACAGTTTGTTGCTCATCAGATGGAAGCTGGATTCTATTTCCAAATTCCACTTGGTTATTTATATAAATTTGCAGTGCAACTCTGCTATCAAGCTAATTAAATTAATATTGAAAATGGTGCATATCTTAGTCTAACTACTACAGATAAAAAGGAACCATGAGCCCCTTTAACTTAATTACCATATCTTCTCTTAAGTGAATCTTAATAACTAACATGTATGCATGATCTAGTAGTAACCAGCAAGTGGCTTTTCTCAGGCAATTCACCTTTTCAGGATGGTTAAGTCAAAAGATTGCATATAGCAGTAGAAAGTGAAAACTGAAGTTATCTTAGTAAAAGAATGAGAGAGAGTCTTCTTCTGCAATAAATAAATTAGTTGGAGGAGATGTCCCAATCGTCCGGCAGCTTTAATTTTTCATGCGAAGCTAGCTGATATGTTTGACTTAGGATGACAGTAAGATAAGCAATTATGTTAGGGATCTGGCCAACTGGTAATGACAGTGCTAATCCTCGAACACATGTGAATACGAGAGATCTAAACACACACACACACACTGCATGTCTAGTTGTCTGTTGAATGATTCTGGCCAAGTAGTGATGCACGCAAAACATTCAGAAAAACTGGAACTCTGCTATGCAGCCCCCAACAAGCACACACAACAAAGACACCATCCATGTTTTTCTTTTTCTTTTTGATTTTTAAACCAAATTGTTCATATACTACATTGGTGCTACATGTGTTATGTGTACAAAGCATAGGAAAAGAAACTGAAAGTGCAGGCTTTCCAAATAATATCTACAATAAAGCTGATCGGCTGGTTCGTGCGTCCTTTGTATGTGACATGTTTGGGGAGGGCCCTTTTCAGTCCGTGCCGTGTTTTTCTTCTTCTTAATAAAATAAGGCGTTATTCTAATGTGTTTTTTCTTATAAAAGATGAACGTCAAAAAAATATCTACAGTAAAGCTTAATTTCTGAATAAGAATGAAGGATTAATAATAGGAGCAGGACAAATATTGTTTCTTCACCAACTGGAATGCGACGAATAAGAAAGACGCGCAATAAGTAATCGAAGGCGACGTTATAATGCCGCGCTGTGTAGAGATCGCAGGGGTCACATAAGGATTTAAAGGCAGCAGTTGGGAATATAATAGCTGGGGCTTGTTATCTTAGGCCCTATCCTTTTCTTGGCACTACATGGGAGCATCTTTCACACATTAAGATACATGAGCTCATTGGCCAAAGTGACTTGGATTTGTTTGGCATGCCTACAAAAAGGGACCCCACCATGGGCTGTGAAACTCATGACAGGAGAGAATCTTAAAATCTCTCCTCTCTCTCCAAGTCCCTGCCTCTCACTAGATATCATTCATACATAAATGCCAACCTGTTTGCTTTCTCAGCTAGAAAAACAGAGTTCTTGGTTACAAAGATCTTGACTTGCTTGGGAGAGGAAGAGAGAGGAGTTTCTTGCTTTCTTCAGAGGGAAATTGGCTTCTTGGAATCCTAATTAGAGGTGAGGATTGGGGTTTTGTGATCTTCTTTACCTTGTTGAGTTGTTTCTTTCATGGCAGGTGTCTGATATCCATGCATGTTTCGGAGTTCAGAGTATGCATGCAGAATTGCAGATCTCTGTTTGTTTGTTTAGAGTTCTTGGTTTGCTTACCTCTCTCTTTTGCAATGAATTGTTCTTGAGATGTTTCAGTCCAGAAATGCCTTGTAGATTGTCCCTTCTCTTCATTCGAAGCTCTTTTCTTTTTCTTTTGCAACTATATATTCCGAAAGCTGTTTTATAGTTGTTCTTGGAAGCGAAATGGTTATTCAGAGCAGTCTTTTTAGACTTGGAAGTGATTTATTCAGTTAGATCAGGATTAGATTTAATTAGTTGTTTGTACTAAACAAGTACGAGCCTAATCCAAGTACTTCCCATATAAAGTATGAATTTAAGATAAAAGCTCAAATTGCAGCAGCTCTGCTATGTCAGATAAATGATGTTTCAATCAGTCACATCATGGTTCCTGAATTCTGCATTTTCTAAGCTAGGCTTCTCTGTATGTATGCAATTTCAGTTCGATAGCAGCTTCCTAAAATTTTTTAGTTCAATTTGCAATAAAAATCGTTTTTCTTTTCCAAAGAATGACAAATTCAGAATGTTTTCTTCATGAAGCAAGGCACTAGGATAAATCAACACAAGTACTGAAATGTTGATCCTCTTGTTACCTGCAGCAAATACATGATATCCTAGGAGATAAACACACACACAAAAATCTAATTGAGGAAACTGATTGCCACTAGCTTCACCAAGAAATGGAGAGGGAGCAGATGAGGATGGCCATCCTGAGGCAAGAACAAACATTCAGACAACAGGTGAGACAAGCAACACAACATCCTGAAAAAAAAAACATATTCAGATCTCTGAATTGTACAAAAATTTCTCACCTCTCTGCTTTTATCTCAACTTTTCACTTTTCAGGTTCATGAGCTGCACAGACTGTACCATGTTCAGAAACAGCTGATGAAACAGATGCAGATCGCCAAGCTGAACCAAGCTCAGGCAATCGCTGCCAACGCCGAAACCAAACCGAAATTCGAGATCACTTTCGCCGAGAATTCAACCAACCATCACCACCACCACCAATTCTACAGCTTCCAGAGCAGCAAGATCATGTCTCCCCCTGCAGCAGCAGCAGCAGCAGCAGATCAAGAAGAGGAAGAAGAATGCGACCTCCAGCTGACGCTGGCGACGGGGAGCAGCGGCGGCGGCGATGGCACGGCGAGGGGGCACAAGGGGAAGAAGGAGGTGAGGTCATCCAACTCGGACTCCGGCACGGCGGCGTCGTCGACGTCGACGGAGTCCGAGCTGGCCCAGTTCAAGAATCATCATCACCATCAGTTGGACTGCGCGGCGGCGGCGCCGGTGGCGTCGCCGGCGGCGAGGTTCCAGGGCGAGAGCAAGAAGAGGGTGGTCGTCGTCGTGGACAACGAGATGAGCCTCCTCCAGCCTCCATGGCTCAACCAGTGCTTGAGCTTGAGGATGGCGTGATTAGCTTATAGCTAGAAATTGTAGATTTGTTGCATCGATGAAGAAGAAGAAGAAGAAGAAGAGATCGATCGATCGAGGAGGGATGGATGGATGCTGTTACTTACGTTGTAAATCACAGAGCTAATCTTCTTTTTTTCCTGCAAGAATTGGTAAAGAGATGAACACTGATTGTCTCGTGTTCTTGAACTTTTTCTTTCGGTGTCCGCCATGTCCTCGCCGACTCCGGCGAGAAGGCTACGGCGAACGTCAACGGCGGCGAGCACATTCGTCGGCGTGGCCGCCGGAGCTCGCCGCCGTGCGTGCTCTGCATCAATGGGTAGCTAAAGAAGTAAATATGAACTGATCTGAGGGTCTAATCGGAAATGGCATACAAACGACTAGTCAATGAAATCTGAGCCGCCCATATGTAATCGGACGGTTGAAAGTACCTCGTCTGAGATGGCTTTGAAAATTAACTACGCCGAGGGGCTTAAGTGCAAAACTTGTTTGACAGAATGTTTAGACTTCAGAGTTGACGTCCCATCGGAACAAAAAAAGGTTCAGAGTTTCAGACTTCAGAATATGATGCAAAGAATTTGGATTTGTTTCGTCCGTTACAAAATATAGCAACTTTTAATTATGTATTTGGATAAATGTTTGTGTAAATATATAAGTAGAAGTTATTGTATTTTGCAACAGAGGTAGTAGCGAGACAAAGGGAACCCAATTAATCAAATATGGAATTTAGGATTACATTAATAAATCAACTGACAATAACCAAATAATATTATTTAAAATGTAAGTGTCTGAATTTCAGGGCACCAAATTTTAAATCTCCTTTCTCATCCCTTTGGAGAATAATCCAATGATTTTGTCAATCCCCACTACTTATTACTTATCACTAGCTCCCTAATTGTTGAACAATAAATAATTCCAACATACAAAAGATTTATAAAATCACATGAAACAGACTCATAACTCCTAAATACATACAAACCACATAAAAAATCAAACCTATAAAATTAAAGTAAACCATATATAACTATAAAATTAAAATAAACTAAAATTGCACAATGCATAGCACTACATTTAGGCATAGCAATGCATGATTTTACGTCACTGAAAATATAATTTTCAAGCGCTTGAAATATAGTAAATCCTATCAAAAAAATTAAACAGCCGACCGGTAGGAGAACGAACCAAAAACACTTGAAAGAAATGTATTAATGTGACAATTAAATACTGGACTTTAACAAGAAACAAGGTTCAAATATGAAACATGGATGAAACCAACGCTCAAGCATGAGAAGGCCATTCTAATCTGCAGGCTCTTTTGGTTGATCAATTGCATGAGCTGCATTATTCCTGAGCATCTGGTGCAAATGTTGAGGATGAGCTCCTGCCCCAGTAATCACTGCATAAAAATGTCCTGACACATAAGGTGTGTATACAAAACTCCCATATATACCATTCGTGTACATTTGACAGTAATCCTCTGGGCGTGTATGGCCCAAATACTGCAGCTTTGAGGTGTCCAAATGGTAGGCAAACACGGTTAAAATATCACCCAAGAAGATAACCTCCTTGTAGGGATGAAATCCAATCATGTCGAAAAATGTGTAACAATATTCATCGACGGCTCCCTCGACAGCCCCATCGATAGAAATAAAGTCGTCATTGTCCAAGTCCCACTCAAAATTTACTTTTGGATCAGGTTTTTTTTGTGTGTTTTGATGCTTCCTATTATTGGCTTCTTCTATGATCCAAGGTTGTCCACAAAATACTTTTCTCCTGTAACCGTAGTAGGACAATAATTGTTTGGCGAACGGCTTGAGGTCATCATGGTATTTCAAGATCCACTCCATCTTCCCATGTGATTCTCTAAGGATCCAAATCCATAGTTGAGCATCACAATCACTTATTCCAAAGCACAAACCGTTTGGCGATCTTCCTAGATATGGTACTGCTTCCCTAGTACTCTTCCTCGACGAGAACACGTCCACCCTCCATGGCGACGGTGGCCATTCCATCAACCGGCACGAGTCATCGATGTCCTTCGCCCTTCCACGGTGGTTGCAGAGAGCCATCATCCACCTCGGATCCGGCACACTGGGGATCACCAACACCTCGTAGTGCGACGACGACATGGCCGGATCGAACGCGGGGTAGGTACAGATCTTGTAGGAGCTCCCGATCCCCGCCGCGTGGTCCGGGAGCTTCTCCCACCTCTGCGTCGCCAGGTTGCAGACGCAGAGCCACCGACTACAATTGCTGAAGAGGAGGAGGCCATTGCAATGGTGGCTGACTGACCACCCGTCCCCGGAGTATCGGTGCTCCGGCATGAAGTCGAGGACGCCGTCGATGGCCGGGCACGCCGGCGTTATGGACGGGTGGGCGAACAGGTGCGTGCGATCGTAGTCGACGTAGCTGACGAAGATGCCTCGCACCGGCGCCGGCAGAGCGACGCCGGTGTAGTAGCCGCGGCGATGGCACCGGCGGCCGTGTGGTGGCGTTGACGAGGATGACGTCGACGACGACACGCCAAGCGACCATGGCGAGACTCCATGGCCGCGACGAGCGGCGCCGGAAGACGACGGCGCCGCCACCGGCGTCCAGCAGGGTCTCCACGGGTTACATCTCCGGTATTGCCGATGGATGGAGGCGGCGGCGGCGGCGGCGGCGCGAGCGTGCATCGCGATTGACATGGCGATTGGCGAGACGGCCCAGTACGTGTTGGATCGCTACCATTGGTTGACCGTTGACTTGTGCTATATAATAATAAATTATACTTTTTTATATATAATCTCGGAGGGCTTATGCGCAAAAATGTGAGTCCAACCACGTGTCTCCCCATCTGGGCCGTCTATGATAGATCCAACGGCAGCGCTTCTTCTGAAGGCCCGAGAGCTTAGCTAAAATCCCTACAAGCTCGTATTTGGGCGTTGACAAATTGATTAATGGCATGAAAATTTCATGATTACATGATTTATAAACTGTTCGTCAATTCATTGAGTCACACACTATGTTAACAAGATGTTCAGAGTCTAAAAGAACGCAGAGACTTCGAAATGATATATACATGATGATATGATTTTTTTTTTGGAATACGCAAAAGCTTTGCGGGTATGTAAATTTAAGAGTAGAGAAAATTTGGGTGATTTTTCTTTTTAGAAATCACCTGACAAATTGGTAGGATGCTCCATTCCTATGATCGTTAAGATTTTGTAACAAACTATAAAAAAATGATAGAATATGAAAGTTGGGACTTTACCAACTGGCCGATACCAACCATTAGAACCATGGACGTCCAAAAATGCTTGAAAAACTGTATTATTGATTTATTTAACAATAATAATGCAGAATATGGTGAATTCGACTTCAACAAGAAGCAGAGTCCTTCAAATCTGTAATATGGGATTACATGAGAAAACCAACTTGCTACAGACCACGGATCAAACATAAGCATGCCATTATAACCGGCAGGCTCTTTTGATTGATCAACTGAATGCCCTGCATTGTTCCTAAGTATCAGGTGAAAATGTTGAGGATGAGCTGCCCCAGTAGTCACTGCATGAAACTGCCTTGAGATATAAGGGGTGTATACAAAAGTCTCATATATACCATTTGAATGAATTGTACTGTAGCACTTTGGATATGAATGCCCCAAATGTTGAATCCTTGAGCTATCCAAATGATAGGCAAACACTATAAAATTTTTAGCCAAGAATACAACTTCCTTTACAGGGTGAAATTAATCCTAGGATGTCGAAAAAAGCATACATGTCAACTCCATCGATCGCGCCCTCGATAGAAATAAAATCATCGTTATCAGAGTCCCGCCCAAAATTCACTTTCAAGTACCTCTGGTTTTATGCTTCCAAGTACCAGCTTCTTCTAGGATTCAAGGCCGTCCACGCGACAGTTTCCGAAAGTAATCAATAGATCATACTTCTTTGGCAAAGGGCTCGAGGTCAACTTGATGTTACATTTGTCCACGTGATTCTCCGAGGATCCAAACCTTATATTGAAAACTAGTACTACCTCCGTTTCATATTATAAGACTTTTTAGTATTACCCATATTCATATAGATATTAATGAATCTAGGCACACATATATGTCTAGATTCATTAACATCTATATGAATATAAGCAATACTAGAAAGTCTAATAACCAGCCTGAAATGGAGGGAGTATGTTCTAAAAGTAACTTCTAGATATACAATTGGACTATGTATATAACTCGTGACAAAAGCACCTCGGCAACGCACATAGAGTGCACCGAGCTGATACACGGCATAGCACTGACGTGACCCCCATGATAAAGGCTCAAATGGATCCAACCATATGTTCTCCATCGTCCCCGCTGGCTCGCCTTGCGGACGAACACTCTCTCCTCCCACCACCCTGTCATCGATGAGAACACCTCCACCCTCCATGGCGAGGGTGGCCATTTCATCATACGACACGGGTCATCTTGGCCCTTTATTATCCTCTAGTGGTGACTATGACGATGGCACGTCACCATCTCCGTCTTCTGCTTCCGTGGTGCACTAGGGATCACAAACACCTCGTAGTGCGACGACGATGACACGGCCGGATCGAACACGAGGTAGGTGGAGGGCTTGTAGACGCTCCCGGCCACTGCGTCGCCGGGTTGGCGACGCTAGAGCCCTGGCTTGCCGTAGCCGTTGAAGAGGAGAAGGCCATTGCAGTGGTCCAGCAAGAAGGACCAGTGCTCGTCGTTCCTCGGACATGTAGTCAAGGACGCCGTTGATGGCCATCAAAATGTTTCCTCTTCTGTGCAATCTCCTGACTTCTGTACGAGCAGCGTCTCTCCTCTCGTTTGCGCAGGTCTTCTATCTTCTGCAGACGCATTGGGTCTCTCACTCTCCATCTACTCTTATGGTGGGAGCTCTAGGGTGTGTTTACTTCACACCAAAATTGAAAGTTTGGTTGAAATTGAAACAATGTAACGGAAAAGTTGGAAGGCCCTGTTTAGTTCCAAAGTTTTTTTTCCAAACTTCCAACTTTCCATCACATCAAACCTTTTGTACATACACAACTTTTCAGTCACATCGTTCCAATTTCAACCAAACCTCCAAACTTCAGTCTGAACTAAACATAGCGGAAGTTTGTGTGTACGAAAGTTTTGATGTGATTGAAAAGTTGAAAGTTTAAAGAAAACGTTGGGAACTAAACAAGGGCCTAGACGA